TCGGCTGAGCATTCACAAAAGCACACACAGTGGGGGAAAGCGAAAGGCACTATGGGGACCACAGAAAAGAGAGAAGTTGGACAAAAAAGAATCGACAGAACATTTCCCGTGAGAGAGGAGAACGTAAGAAACGCTCGAAGAACGAGCACGGTGAATCAGGGACGCTGCTTCCCTAAGTCCGCGCGCGGGGAGGCGAGGCAGAGATAATATCTATAGACAAGAAACATCCTTACTCATCGAGTTAATAACAGTTTTAAAACTTAAATTTTACTTGCAGTGAATCAAAATTTTAGAGAGCTCATACCTAACAATCAACATTCCAACTTCATTCATATTGTAGATTCAACACCGTACTTCTATCTGATATTTTGCATTTTAATATTATAGGTGTGCAAGGTGTTCTTGAAATGGTATTCACTTTCAAGTACATGAAATGATGCAAGAATTTGAGATACCATTATGATTAAACAAGTGTTACTTGCGCAAATTTTAAAAATTGGGACTTAATGGACTTGAGATAACGGCAGGACCGATCAGCTAATTAGCAAGGAGAGAAAGGGCCATTTCTTTCGACTACATTACGCCAACGGACATTACTGAAATACAGTTGTGCAAAGGATAAATGCCATAGACGGGAAAATTTGAGTTATTTATGCGAGAGATATTTGTTTCACATAAATTAAACATTATTTAGCAAACTGCTTTCTATTACAAAACCAAAAGGTAAGAAAATATGTGATATTTTTGAGAAAGTTGGAAAGTGCACAATAAAGTCAGTACTAAATTTCATGTTTTGTAGGGTCTCAAACTATTTTAGTAGATTATAGATTATGAAAAAGCTGTATTAAATGCACGCTAATACTGTTGACAAACGAGGAGACATACAGATCAACAATCAGACACTTTGAACAAAACATTTTTCTTTGAACAAAACATTTTTTTTCATCACAACCCGTAGATTGATTTTTCCCTAAATTACAACATGAATTAATAAACTACCTGAAGGATAATGAAAAATTAATCAACTTTCAGTGCATCACGCATGTGTTGGAACTCAAAACTCTCGCAAAAAATACTGAAGGAGCGTAATAAAACACTTTTTATATTGTTTCACGTATTTCTTCGCCGTCTCTGAGAACTTAAATTCTTAGTATTTAATTTCTAAGTTCAACAATATATTAATATTATACTAAAAATGAAATTATTACTTCAACCTTAACATTATTCTTCTATCAGTTCTTCTGAGCATGCCGTCAACCGAAATCTTCTCAATGCACTAATAAAAATTACGGACATTCAGTGATGTTTATCCTGCCGCATCCATAATCTCTATTTTGTGCATTACATCTCATCCTTTGGCCGTTGTAAACTGATTTGATTATTTTTCTTTAAACTACGCAATATACATGCAAGCGAATCCACTCGTCAATTAAAATAGATGTACTTAGTGGTGTGTAATGAACTGCGAACACCTCTAGGACACTCCATTTCCTTCACTTGCCTCTCATAGATCGCCGCCGCTACGCTGAGCGTCTGTGCACACTGATCTGGCCAGATCCCCTTTGATGGAGGCCGCTTCGAGTCTCTCGTTGTCCACCAGCCTGCCATCAACGCCCCAGCTTTCCTCACGAAGATTCCACACTACACTACACTACAGCCTCATTTCCATCGCCACCAGCGTTAAACACAGGCTTCCAACACTTTACCTTCCTATCACGCTTAGTCGCTCGCTGTTGCGAGGCTCCCGGCGAGTTTTTCCTTCATCTGTATCACGGGCACATTCTCAGCCTCTCCACACGCATTCCTCGACACCCCACTCGCCTCATCCTCATCCCAACCATTCCCGTTTCGGTTCCTTCGCCGCGTTAAGCGGAAGCACACGTAAATAGGCAATTCAGATTCACGCAGAGAAAGCGCAGACGCGCGCCCAGGCCTACGTCCTATCTCCGTTCCCCGCCTCTGCCGAGGAGGCGGGCTGCGCTGGCGAAACGGGGAAGAAAGGTTGGCGGGCAAGCAGAGCGGGGCGAAGTGGGGGGTGCAGGTGGGCGTGGCTGGGGGAGGGGAGAGACGGGACACAGTGGGAGCAGGTGGGATTCAACAGCGAAGGTCGGGGAGGGAAGGAACGGGGCAGGATGGAAGGGACTACGACCAGGGTTTCGGCACCATCGCGTCGTTGAATGGGACGAGGTGCCGAGGGGTGAGCCACTGGGAGGGGGTGGCGGTGGGGATGGGGGAGAACCGCAATCTGCGAGCCCACTCGCCGCTTCACGAGGGGTGGGGGTGCGGGAGCTTCCTTGCCGCTGCGCTCGCTCCGGTGCGGTTAAGCAGTCGTTGCCCGGTTGCTACGTGTTATTTCCGACGCGAGGCGGCGCGGGTATATCACGTCCGGAGGAGGGAGGGGGGGCGAGAAGAAATCCGCGGTGCGTGGCGCCGCCTGCAAAGTGAATACCCGGGAGAAGTGAAGACCGCGCCGGTGGACAGAAGTCTTCGGAATGCTTTTCTGTTGGGAATTTAATTTGGTTTCAAGTGAACATAGTATAAATGATGTGTAATTGAATATGATTTTAAAACGAATGGCACACAACAAAACGCCAAATCACACCGAAATATATTTAAACAAACATACGTTGAAAGATGTAATAAAACGAAAAGAAGCTAAGAGATTAAAATAGAAAGATAACGAAGGAACCAGATTATTATATACTAGTATAGTATAGAACCAACAAAATTTTGCGATATTCGTATTTGTTGTTTGTCACTTCAATTCTACTTCTGCATTTCAATTCATTTGTTGTTCTTCAATTCTACATTTTCAATTCACTTGTATAATTATATAGTCAGAGAGTGTTCTTAGAAATATTACTTACATCTTTTCTATTAATAGTCCCATTCTCACGTTATACAGTCAACGATACTTCTAAAATACTTTAAAAGGGAGCACGTAGAGCCATCGTTGTAGCACACACACACACACACACACAAAGTCGGGGGGCTCTTTCCGCGGCGCGGAGTCTGTGACACGAGAGAAACGGTTTGGTTTATACAATTCATCACGTAGTAGATTTAACTGTAGGGTATAGAAACTTTTTGAGAAACAATCTGTTTAGTCACGTTCAGGAAACTGCTATTTAGTTAAACATACTTTGCACGTATAGTAAAGTTGACTAAACAGGTTGTAATATTTACTAAACACATTGCAGTGAAAATTACTAAACGAATAGTACCGTTTAGGAAAGGGAATATTTTATTACTATACCTTCAGCAAGGTAGTATTAAAAAGTTTAGTTCCCGAGTGGTCACTTGCCCTAAGGCCCCGTAGACTCTTACTTCGGTAACTTCTGTAACCTGATAGATACACGCCAAGCAGAACGGCTATTCACGATAGCTGCCGAGGCTTGACCATCGACATTATTTCTACCATTAGTTTAGAATATGAAACAACATTTAAAATCAATAAAATACTAACAGCATATAATACTGTGCACAGAGTTGGTTTCTCACATTTCACATGACATCTACAACCTACATTCATGTACATTCAGGTTCCTATGACAAATATAGATTTTAATAATGAAGTCAATTCCATTTTAACATTGCGTTAAATAATGGTTATGATTTTCTGTCCATTAATAAAATTATCTACCAAAAAGTTGTAAAGATTATTTTGAATAACGTTTTTCCTCAATATTGCCCTGTAGAACTTAAGAAATTTATTTGCATCCCCTGAACAGGTCCAGTATCTAAATCTGTAGGCCAGTGCTTCACTAAACACAATATTTCAGTACCTAACAAAATTTGGATCTCCCTCAAATGCTTATTCCCTTGTTCAAAATCGCCCCCATTGAAGGAAGTGGCCTTTATCAACTTACTTGTAATAACTGCAATTCAGCATATGTATGTCAAATATGCAGAAAATATTCAGTTAGAATTAATGAACTTATTAGATGTTGGAAATAAAATTGACAGTTCCACCTTTGCCAATAATTTGATTAAATTTAACCCTCCTCCCTTCATTCCGACGTACCAGCCCTGAGGAAGACCATGACAGGATGGTTGAAACGTCGGCAACTCAGCCTTCGACGCGGCGTCATCCGGATAGCCCAGATCACCCACATGACTCTGATCGCGAAAGCCTACGACTTCATTTCAAGAAACTTGTCATGATGCTTTTCATACATTTTTATGAAATATCCTACGCATTTTTTACCAGTGACAAAAAACTCAATACCAAAATATGGACTTCACATAAAAGAAATTTACAAACAGTCGACTCTACAATTAAATATTTAATTGATACATTAGACACGTAAAATTAAATTATTCATTGTTCTTAAATATACATTCAGATCACTTTTATATTTCAATACTTTTGTCGCTTCTCTTTTGTTAAATCATATGCTGAACAAGAAGAGGGCATTTTAATGTTTCAAACCTACTAAAAACTTTGTCAACATATTGTACTTTTAATATTTATAACGATATTTGCCCTTTTTCACATTATTTTATTCCAACATGCAAGTACAATAACTGTATTAAGTTTACACATTAATTACGATATAAGTAGACTAATGAAAAAATGTACATTCAACTTGTTTCTACGCCAGAATGTTTACCTTTTTTCACGCTTTCAAATATCTTTAGTACAGTCAAACAAAATTATTATTTCTGTTTCTGAGTTGTAGGGGAGTTATAATACCCTCCCTTCTTTTTCTATATTCTGTTCTTCCACGAACCACACACCTTGGCAGACCTTGAGTGAGAGAGAAATAACAGATCGAATTCTCACACTAACATTCTTTTACAAATTATTTTGTATTATTCTTAGTGACAAAAAGTACTGGATGAATACCCTGAAATTCTCAAAAATAAACAGCTACATATAACAGTCTTTGGATGGAAGTACCTCCATGACAATAATAAGAAAATGAACGTTGTGCCTTACTTTAGACAATTTCCAGGAGACGAATGGTGCATGCGTTGGGTTTAGCCTCTTCGTTTACCTCGTGCAACTGGAACCAAACCTCGTCCAGTATTGCATTCTCCTTTTCAGGGTCTTCGGTCCATTTATTCCTGTTTCTGTACAAAAGTATCCAGAGTATCAAGCAAAATTTGTGTTTTATTAGGAATGCAGTGATGTACACGTGATAGTTGAACGCATCCGTTACCTCTTTCCGCGGTGTCATCTCGGACCAACCAACGTTCTCGTATAAGTGGTGTATTTTTCCAATGGAATTATAGAAAGTTTCCAAAGAATCTGGACAGCAGTAAGTTTAATTGCCGTTTAAAGGTAGTGGGAACACCATAAGGTTTATAAAACATTTCCAACAATTCGAAAAAGAACTGTAAAAATAATACATCATTAGAATAGTTATTGAAGAGGTGCTACATTTTAACTGTTGAATATGTCCATAAATATTTATTTTTATAATGTAAATCGCCTTGTATATTTAGTATAATTATTGTGCGAATAATTACCTAACATCTTGAGCCTTGGTTGTTTTTCAATAGGTAGATGGAATTCGTTTCGAGTGCATTAATCGGCAATGTGGAATCCAACGACAATACAGCTAACAGTCTTGCCTCGTATAAGCGTCCGTCCCCACCAGCAAACATCAATAGAATGAACCCAATATTGCTTCCAGCCTGTCGCCCTTCAACTCGTGCAGTAGCTTTCGACGTATCGATATTTCTACTGCCCTTGTCATCGCAGAACTCGTTCTATACACTACGCTAGTCAGTGCTCTTTCTCTGATGTTACAGCTAGTGTATACAGCAGGCCCGCACAGCATTTTGCACTTTGACTGACCTCGGGAGCTGCGCGCGAGCAACTAGAGTACAAACCCGGGCCGCGTCAACCGAGGAGATAAGGCTCCTTCTAGGAGTGGGGACCGCCAATGGGGGCGCAAGTCGAAACGTAGCGCGTAAATTGAAATAGCAATTGCGAGAATGATGGACTATCAGATACAGATCAAGAATAATTACTTTTTATTTTGGATATGTTTGTTGTCGATGTATGACAATGAGATCTCAGAACGAGACATTCATATTTTATTTAGACACAAGTATTATAATTGTGGGGCGGGTAATGTAATTTGCTTTGCTACAATGTAATTGCAAGTTTAGCGTGCTACTGAATTAAAAATTGTAATAATGTGTATTTTTTGTTTGATGACTAATAAATTATTTTTCATTAATTATTTTTAATTGATTAAGATGGTGCTATAAAAGCTTAAGGAATATTGTTCTTAAAAAATCATGATTACTTTGTTCTCTAATTTCCGACATGAGCTCATTGAACTTCATCAAGAGAACTCGTAGAGAAAACTAAAAATCTAGTTAAAACCTCATCGAAATTCAGTATTCTTAGATCCTACTAAAAGGGGAAGATATGAAATTTGTTGCAAAACAGATAACAAGTGCACTTTTCAATACTCACAATTTAAAAAAAATCATGCCTATCACATTTATGCTAAATGCTTATAATACGTTTTCTCTACAGTTGTTGCATATTCATTATTTAACCGTCACGAATTTTGTACAAGCAAGTACTATTTAATACTATTGAACAATCATAAAATTAAAATAAACGTGAATAATTAAAATTTCCAAGTATATTTTTAATTTCCTATTTTGTTCACTAAAAATCTCGCCATCACAATTAGTAAACTTCGTAATTTCATATTCCCTCCCCTATTTTCTGATTTCTTCGTGATAAAATATAATTACGAAAGAAGAGTAATAAATAAAAGTAAATAACAAATCGAGCATCTTAAATAATTGAGTTACTCAGATGTTTATTCACTATGTTTATTCTTTTCATTGCCAAATTGTACAATCTGGAGTTACGAGGTATGCTAATTCGTATGACGATGTGATAATTGTAAAAATTGATCGTATATATGAGAAGTTATTTGGATCCGAGAACCCTAAGAGGGACTAAATGTGTGGACCGCAGCTTTTTAAGAACCGAGTCCTATTCCGCACAAAATTTCCAATTCTGCACAAACCAAAGGGCTGCGGATGTGTATCTCAGAACATGGAATATACTCCCGTCTCTCCGGGACTACTGGGATGGGGGAATTAAAAGCAATACAGCAGCCGGATTAATGATATTTATATCTGCCACACATTTCGCCAAAAACCTAATCCTTTTATACTTTACTGCAACTTTTCATCGACTTTTATGTATTAGAGCAAACTCATCCCACTGCAAAATTGTTTAAATGTACCAAAAAATGTTGTTAAATGATGAACGCCCATGAATTAAACTTTCTCAAAGGAGAGTACTTGATTTCGTCTACTAGCGACTGATTTCTGAGCAAATGTTGCGAAAATAAAAGCCTGTTGGTCAACGTCGAGGGTTAGTTCCAGACGAGAACTTTCTTGCGTCACATTTCTGTGCGACTCCAGGAGAAGCTTCGCTAGTGGTAGATGAGGCGCGAAATTCTGCAGCCTTTCGCACGCCAACTGAAAAAGCGCCCCCTAATTGTCGTGACGGGTGTCAACGAGCTCTCAGGCAGAGCCGAAAACCTGATTGCGCGAAATCGTGAGAAGAACCAACAGAAATATTTCTTTCGGGATTTCGGCACGCCAGTAACTTTATAAACCCAGAATAGTCAAGTAAACAAGTTTAATTTATTTAGTTGGATTATTTAATTTAGTTTAATTTCATTGAATCACTGATAGGAACAGAAAATTAGTGTGACTGCGCGGCCTACCGGAACTTTTCCGTGTTAGAATCACGAGTTCTAATTCAACAGAGGTCAACCAGCGGTACGCACGATTTATCCAGGGTAGGAGAGGAACGGGGGCTATACGTATATCGCCCAAACGTTTCCTTATAAAATAAAGTTGTTTGTTGACAATATTTCCAACATTAATAAATATTATATTGACTTTCCTTAGCATAGAAAGGTAGTAAACGCTCTACTTTTGAAAATGTATCATAGGTTTATATGAGCGGAGGACTGATTCCTGATTAGATCTCTTAGGTATGTCACTGACAGCAACTCCTAATGTTTTTTCTTTTAGCGCGTGGGATCATTTAAAGATCTTAAACTGACGAATAAATAGCATTGACTAATAAATCTCTGGATTTAAGGTTGGAGGTGTAGATGTTTGAAAGTAAATTTGAACCGTGCAACTCCAAGGTTTCATAGATTTTAATGAAATTTGTGGAATGAAACTCCACCATTTTTATATATGCACTTTTTCTATTCTCATATAAAAGAACAAAATTGCTGCAGTTTTCCGTCAAATTGGGACGATGTCAGAGATTGTAATATTGTAATGATCTATGATAATGAACATCTATAACTTACTCCTGCCATGTTTTCCAAGTATTAGCTGTAAAGCTTCTCATTTCACAGAATTATGGTTCACTAACTGTACAGTTAGGTTCAATTCCGCCATTCGCCTATCTGAAAGATAATTGCAGCCGCAGTTCTGATCGGTAGTACCGTGATTTCTCCGATTAATAACAGGCGAATGCCAGAAATGTAGCCTAACGGACATCGGACCGCGCGCGATCTTTCCTTCTTCTTCTTTGTCCTATCCTCACCCCTCACACATACATACATGCACTACACCACCGCCATGTCGGGAGCCTGTCTGAAATTCAGAGCTTATTCCGGCTGGGACGGTGCTCCTCTAAGGGAGATATCTGGAGGGGGAAATTATCTGCAAATCGACGTGGTACTATCGTTGCATACTTGAACGATTTTACTAGCATTTTTATGACTTTAACTTGGAAATGCTGTAAAAGCAAAGTTGACCTCCAAAAGGCAACATTACTTCAAAAATGGAGAGACCCTACACGTAATCTGTTCAAAATGTATTTTGTTACAAAGGATAAGAAGGTAAAACCAAATAGATAATGGTGATTCTCCTGTGAAAGAGAATAAATGTATCTGAGTACCGCGATTAGTGGTTTGGTTTGGGGGCACTTTTCACCTCCTTATTCAACTATATTATTTTATATATTAGAACATTTGTGAATTATATCACTTTTTTCACAGTTTTATCGCCTGCAAAATGAAAGCAACGTAGGAGTAACTGAAATTATTGAAGTATCATTTCTGATCATCATAATTTGATCATGCTCTTGGGGAAAGTGTTATTATTGAACAGAGTATTTATGCTGATATTTCAATCATTATCGCCACCATCATTCACCACAATCGTCTTCGTCACCGTCAGCTGTCGTGTGAAGTACGCCTGGTTCGTCAGATAATTTTTTTTTTCTTCATCGTTCAAAATCTGATTCTTTCAAGATGCTTCTTAATGTGACTCTTTCGTTACTGTCTTTTTGAAAATTTACCTTTTCATACTCCTATACAAGGTGGTTCAGGATCTAGTATATCAAAAAAAACCTTTATTTGATGATTAAGTAATCACTGATCATGCAATTACCATATACAGTTAGTGTAAAAAATTAAGAGGACACTTACGAATATTTCTGTTTTGAGTATGTGGAAACTTTGCAGACGCATTTTACATAAATAAGACAAAGCAATCTTGACAACAAATAAGTTCTTCCTAAATTTCCACAAAAATAGTTTCACAATGCCAAACAAATACCTCGGTACTGATGAAAACAAGATACATCGCGCCGAAATGGAGCGCAAAAAGTCTTTGGACACTGACAGTTCTAATAAACACATTTGCTAAAAAAGACTTAATATTTTGTGGGATTTCCCTTTGGACGAATAAGGGACTTAAGCGTCTGTGGCATGAAATTGACAAGATTTTGCACAATTTGAGGAGAAATATTACTCGTTACTTTTAGTCACGTGCCAATTCTATTTTGTTTGCAATTTTTATATTTCTATTTTTTCCAGGAATCCCCATAAATGTTCTATCAGATTTAGATCCGGGAACTGAGGAAGTGTGTGCAGTTATTTTAGTGTACTGTACAATAACCAAAGTTTCGTATTGAAAGCAGTGTGCTAAGGATCATTGTTTTGTTAAAAAATATAGGCTTGCCCCGAATGTAGATTTGCCCATTCACTGAAGCAGCACTGGCTCTCAAATTATTTCTTAAAATGTCCATGCAGTCACATTGGATCATTACAAC